CCATCTCGCTTCTGTGCCACATCTATAAGTTGTTTGCAAGGGTCATAATGAATCGACTTGCGCGGAGACCTACATCAACTCACAGAATACATTCTGAAAGTCTTCAACAAAAGAGGTCGCAGGACTACTAACACCGCCCTCTGCTTCGATATCGCAAAAGTTGACAAAGTCTGGAACGACGGCTTGCGTTACAAGTTGTATAAACTCAATGTGCTTGATGGGCTCACTCACAACATCAGGGTCTTTCTTGCCAACCGCTATCTTCGCTATCGAATAGAAGGCACCCGCACTTCAAAGCGTACCCTCGAGACTGGAGTCGCTCAAGACTCTGTCCTTCTCCACTTCTTTTCACACTCTTCACGAGTGAAATTCCTAAATACCCCGTAATTAACACTACTATTTTCGCCGATTACACGGCACTCTTCATCGCCATCACTACAAAAGAATTTTCGTGATTGGTTCAGCTTATGAAGAATTGAAGCGAATACTGAGAAAAGTGTAGCAATATACTTTAAAACGTCCTCCACTCTCAATCGTCAAAACACAAATCCCGAGAAATTGTAAGGTATGATCACTTTGTTCGGCTGCCAGATCTCCTGGCAACCAATGGTAAAATACCTAGGGATCACTTCGACCAAGGCGTGGCCTTCTCGAAACATATTCGCTCCGTTTGCAACCGAGCCTAATTCATCACTAGCTGCCACCCGCTAGTTAACAGCAAAATCATACTGTCCTTAAGACACAAGCTCCATCTTTACATAGCTTGCGTAAGACACATCATATCCTACACAAGCGTTGCCTTCGCGCACGCTGCCCATCGTCATTTTTACGACCCCCAAGTCGTACAAAATAGATTCATACGCAAAGCCACCGGAGCTTGGTGGTACCAGCGAAACTCATATTTATACAGAGACTGTCAATTACCGACGATCTCTGAATATTTCAAGGAAATGTCTCAGCGCTACTTTGTCAGGGCTGAGACACATTCCAGCCCGTTAGTTGTAAACGCCTACGCCCCGACTCCAAACGTTACAGAAAGTCTCCGAAGGCGCCGTAACGTATTATTTGAACCCTCTGTTCCGCTAGATTCTGATGACCTAAGTGTCGCAGGCCGGTCAATCATGAACACTGCACACTCACCTAGTGGACACAGTGAGAACGCAAACGACCGCGTACCTCTGCACACTGCGTACACATCATACACCCGCATTCCTGGGTGGTTCTCACTATCCGGAACATGGAACAATACGAGTTCGCCTTTAGAGCCGGGGGTCCGCCACAGAGCGGTTTCGGACGGCCATTAGGTAACTGAATTACGTGTATTTTAAACTGAAGTTTTAATTCAAAGCCCTGAGACCTATTAAACTGTAAGAGCCACATAGGCTAACAGCACCAACATCATCGCAACCGGAGAGGTGAGGTTCCCAGTTCACATGTTCTCTAGCCCATTGCAGTCTTTGTCCATGATTACCTCTTCTTAAAGCTGGAAACTTAAGTGATCCACCAGCATAAAGGTTGGCTTCCTGCGGTCTCCTCCTCACAGTGTGGTCACTCACAAGTACTTGGTGTTCAAAACCAATTGCATCGCCGTAACATTTGGTTGCCTTCTCGCAGCTATTTGCAAAAAATGGTCTTGTCTGGGTGTTGTAATGTGGCTTGGCCCTGGATGTCTCTCCGCCACCTCCTATGTGGCACAATATCGTAGTCTTCGAAATCGCATTTTGCCTGGTGCCTATTTTCGCAGCGAAGACATATACCGTTTTTTTAAATTAATTTAAAGTGACAAACGAACTTAAACCATATTTAAATCCATATAAAGAAGGCTAGAGATGCCTTAGCACAATTGAGGACTAAGATAAAACGCCTGCCTGTAATTATACTGGCTCTTTATACTGATTAAACAGAAAAGCACTGGGTAATACGACTAGACGTAGACAACTGGTGGCCTTTGACTATACCAACAAGATGAGGTGAACTCTTTTATGTTGCTACAACAAGGATGGATTTTATTAGCATTCCAGTATCAAGTTATTATTGTGATATGTCCGATTTTCCAAAGTCAAAATTTTGACATATCTCCCTGTTCCAATGAAAATATTACATGATATCAACGTACATAAGTACTTAGGAATTTTGTCCCGATAAATGTCCGTTTTATTGGTAGTGAATACGGTGGGAGCATTTTTGATATACCTTCTGGAAAGTGTGAACCTCCTCGATTGCAACCATTTTTCAAATAATCATGACATGCGTACTGAGGAAATGTTAGTCATAACCGGAATGAAACTGCTTCGGTAAATGTGATAGCAACATTTAATTTAAACATAGGCATTTCAAAACTAAAAGGGATGATTTAATGCGAATGCGCGGCAATATTACACATAATTTGTTTTATCTTATGAAATGTTATTGTCTTATGGATAATGTAAAAAAATTATAAGGCCCATACGAAATTACTTTTAAAAGAGAGATTAAGAGGAAAACATAAAAAAGGTAGACTTCACTATCAAATGTAATAAAACAGAACACGATCTTCCATGTTCTATGGCAATAAAAACTGCTTGAAAGAGGTGGTCTCTAAAAACTCGTATTCGCTATTAAATTACTTTATTTCTAAGATTTCTTGTTGGAACTTACATAAAAAAATTACAAAAAATGAAATAAACACACGCACGTACATATAAGGTATATCAGAATAAAATTTGCACTCTAAACTAGTTAAACATATATTGTTTAATATACATTGTAATAAATAATATACCTAACAACCTAGTTATAAGTGATACTAACAAACTATGAGTCCTTACTTACTTGAACAAATGAATTACCTATTCTTCTTCATCTTAAACAGTAACAATGTATATTTTTATTAATTTATCTAACTTCTCAAAACCATTGTACTCCAAGTGATTAAAGCGCTCGCCTTAAAATGCGTAAGACTTACTAGGGTGGCAGCACTCCTTTTGAGTTTAGGAAGTCTGTGTAGTTTTCATCTTCTTACCTATTTCTGCTACAAAATAGCAGCGCGTGCACTGTTGTGTTCCGAAATGAAGGGTGAAAGAGTCAGTTTAATTACAGGGCTGTGAGAAATTCCATCATAGTCACGTGGTAAAGTCATGCTGTAGCTACACTGAGATCCTAAAATAAATAGTTGAAATATTTAAAAATAATGAAACAGAAATAGCTGAAATAATTAAAAAGAATACAAAATTAAAGTATGACATGGCAATGTTATACGCAAATTATCCATTGTATTAAAAAAAGGGACCAGCTCCAGGGAACTTTCAATAAGTTTGATCAATGCAGGAAGGAATAAGAGGAAGCTCTCAAATTCATTGCTGCGTTGCAGTTACAAATGAATGAAGTTCAAGGGCAAATTTTACAATTTAGCCTAAATTTTGACAACTTATCAGCCTCCAAAACTTAGAGACTGTTCCATGAACTAGTAGAATGTCAGTGAATTTGACAGGTGAACATGCTATTATATTTAGAACAGCATGAAGAATCGCTTGCAATAACTATAAATTATATAAATACATTAAAACTTAATAAATACGTTAATATATTACAAAATAACCATAAAAACAAAATAAGTATTAAATATCATGCCACGTTATGTAAAACAAAACAAGAATTAATTAATAAGGTCAAAATATATGCAATTAAGGTGGAAATATTAGGAAAAGTTATGAGACTGTCATGGAGTATATTAATTCAGAAAATTCTTCACTTCATAATAATAATAATAATAATAATAATAATAATGGCGTAGGGAAGTGACGACCCCATCGCCCGTTGACGTGACGGTTATGTGACAAAACCGCTACGTCCGCGCAGTCAGTCAGCACCTTGCCAAGAGGTGTGAGCGCCGTGCCTCGGCAAAAATTGATGGTGCAAGGGCCCGCTTGTGCATATGGCCTCACCATGAAATGGCGCCGGGTCTGGGCGTCTCCCGTTAAATGACGCCCTGTATGGATGATGGAACATAGAAGATTGCGCAAAGGGCCGCTGCCTGGAGGTCGTCAGGGCGCGTCTGGAGCTGGCGCTGGACGCGACAGCATGCGAACCGCCAGCCGAGCGCGAGGTGCTGCACGACCACCCAGCAGCCCCTCGCATCCATCATCCCCACCAGCTTGCTTGGTGTCGGCAGGGTCTTCGCAGGCCCAGCAATCGGCACCCGCCACTGGTGGAGTACGCCGCATGCGATGGACCATCAATATGGATTCAAACGCATTGCGGGCGTATTTTAGGGCGAAAGGGGGGAGAAATTGGAGGTTTCGCGTATCGGGCTAGGATGCATCGTCTTTTTACTGAGCTGGAGCCATCTATTACTGTCACCGAGCAAAACCTGGCAGACCGAGTTCGGTATATCTTACGCTCAAATATATTTGATGGCGCCGAACTCGAACGGCTACGACGTGAGGCTGTTCCCTCATCAAATGAAAACGCTACGACTGAGGGTGCGGTGCCACAAGTTGCAGAACAACCCGCACACGTGGATGCCGCCGAGAATACCCCAGTGGTTGCTGATTCAAATGATGATGGAACATTCACCCAGGAACTAGAAATAGAGCAAATGAGGAGTACATTGGAAGAGGCGATTATGGAAACGCGCAGTACGCCTCTCGAAAATCGACCGCGACTTCCCCCGCATAGCCCTAAGCAAGTGGAATCGGGCTGTCGTGAGGGCTCTGAACCCAATGCTGGTGACCTATTTGGAAGCCAGCCGGGACCTTTGCGAGACGGACTCAATTCTCTTTGGCGCCGCACTGGCAGTCTGCCGTATTATAGGCGCCAAACTTTCCACGGCTGGACGCACTACTGGACAAAGTAGTGCTATCCCAGCCTGGAGAACAAGAATTGAAGAACGTATCGCAAAGGCTAGGGCCCTCATCGGCAGACTGATATGCTTCAGGTCAGGCAATACCAGGCCAAGGATTGTGCGCACCGTCAGGATGGCGTTTGCTGGGACAAATGTTAGTTTGTCCCAGCCGGATATAATGCAAAAACTGACGGAGCGCATAGACGACCTGAAGCAGAGAATCGCTGCTTGGGGAAAGCGAATTCGGCGATATACCGAGAGGTCGACACGGTTCAACCAGAATCGTCTCTTCCAGAGTGATCAGAAGAGGCTCTATAAATCATTGGAGCGACCAATGGTAAGTGGAACGGGCCCAGTACCGAATCAGGCCGACACGGTCGCATTCTGGCGCAGCCTGTGGTCAGAGCCCGTAAACCACAACGAGGGCCCTTGGACGGAAGTTGTGGCGAGTCAGTGTGCGGGTATTACGCCCATGGACCCCGTCACCATAACGCCGGATGACGTAGCTGAGGCGGTCCGTAGGGCCCCGAACTGGAAAAGTCCGGGACTCGACGGGCTGCATCACTACTGGCTGAAGGGGTTCGTGGTGTGTCACACTGTGCTCGCCCGACAGTTTCAAGAGGTTCTCAACCAGAAGTCGCTCCCGAGCCTCTTCACTACTGGGATCACCCATTTGGTTCCTAAAGGCTAGAGTACCACAGACCCGAGCAAATACCGCCCCATCACATGTCTACCGACCATATATAAGACACTAACATCAATTTTGAGCGCGAGAATCACTCGTCACCTGGACTCAAATCAGGTGATGTCGCGCGCTCAAAATGGATGTCGGGGCGGCGGTCGTGGAACCAAGGAACCACTCCTCATTGACGCGGTCATTGGCAAAGTGGTGAAACGCAACCGTCGGAACTTCTCCGCCGCCTGGATAGACTACAGAAAGGCATTCGACTCGGTGCCCCATACATGGCTAAAGAGAGTCCTCGAACTGTACAAGATAGACTGTACAGTTAGAGACTTCCTCGAGCAGTGTATGGGGCAGTGGAGTACGAGCCTAGGTCAGCTGGGCGAGCGGATGATGGATGCGGAGAACCACATAAGGATAAGAAGGGGTATCTTCCAGGGCGATTGTCTGAGTCCAATATGGTTCTGCCTCTCTCTGAACCCTCTCAGTACCTTACTGGAGGGCTCCGGGAGGGGATTTCAGCTACGGAAAGGAGGGACAAAAGTGACCCACCTTTTCTATATGGATGACCTCAAGTTATTCGCCTCCAGTCGCTCCCATCTTATGGAACTGCTAAACATCACTTGTGAATTTAGCAATTCCATTGGAATGGAGCTGGGGACGGATAAGTGTGCGGTCCTCCATGTTGAGAGGGGTAGGGTTGCTAACTCTGAGGGCATAGACTTAGTCTATGCCCGTCAACTTAAGGACCCTTTCCGAGGCTGAAACATACCGATACCTGGGTATGTCACAGAACATTGGTATAGATGAGGCTGGTATGAAACAGTCAGTTTGCGACGTGTTTTATGCACGCTTGACCAAAGTGCTTAACAGCCTTTTGTCCGGTGTGAATAAGACACAAGCATATAACGGCTGGGTCATACCTGTCCTCATGTATACCTTTGGCATACTCAGGTGGACTCAGACTGAACTTAACGCCCTGGATAGAAAAGTCCGCACTACCATGACGTCCCACAGGATGCATCATCCGAGATCGTCGGTAATGAGGCTGTACTTGCCGCGAAAGCATGGTGGGCGTGGCTTCTTGAGCGCGCTTACCATGCATAATCGCGAAGTGTGCAGCCTCCGTAATTACTTCCTGGCGAGATCGGATGATCCATTCTATAAGGACGTCATTTCTTGTGATAAAGGACTTACCCCTCTATCCTTAGCCAACGAGCAATGGCAAAACCCGGCAGTGCAGACAATTTCCGACCGGGAGACCGTATGGAAGGAGAAGGAGCTCCACGGGAGGTTCTACAAGTCTCTACATGGGCCTTTCGTAGACACCGTAACCTCTCTCCACTGGCTACGCTTTGGTGACCTCTTCGGGGGAAACCGAGGGTTTTGTCTGTGCAATACAGGATCAGGTTATTAAGACCAACAACTATCGGAGATACATCCTAAAGGATGGCACCATCGACATCTGTCGAGCTTGTCGCCATCCCGGTGAGTCACTTAGGCATGTCATCTCCGGTTGTTCGGCGCTTTCTAACTCTGAGTACTTGCACAGGCACAACCTAGTAGCCAGAATTCTACACCAGGAGCTCGCTCTGAAATACGGTTTCGTGGATCGGAAGTTGCCGTATTACAAGTACTTGCCGGAAGCCGTGCTCGAAAATGATCGCGCCAGGCTCTATTGGGACCGGGCCATCATCACAGACAGGACTATTCTTGCGAATAAGCCTGATATTGTGCTGATGGACCGGGCACAGTCAAGGATATTTTTGGTCGACATTACCATTCCGTGTGACGAGAACCTCGTGAAAGCCGAAACAGATAAGCAAACAAAATATCTGGACCTGGCACACGAGGTGACCGACATGTGGGGTGGTCTGCCGACCGAAATTATTCCTGTAGTCGTCTCTGCAAACGGGCTAATCCCAGTCAGCCTCTCGGGTCATCTGAGGCGGCTGGGACTACGTGGCGGACCGCTCCAGGCTCAAATGCAGAAGGCGGTGCTCCTCGATACCGCCCGCATCGTCCGCCGGTTTCTTTCCCTTTCCCCCTAACCCTCGGCCGTTTGGTCTCCCCTGCCGAGGGCTTCCATCTGGTTGGGCTTTTATTTATTTATGTATTTTCATATTTATTTTATTTTATTGATATTTGATGTATGTTTATCTTTTCATTTTCGTTTATAATTATATATTTATACATCCCAACCAGATGAGAAAACTATATAGATACCCCACACATAATAATAATAACCGACCCGAGCAAATACCGCCCCATCACGTGTCTACCCACCATATATAAGACACTGACATCCATTTTGAGCGCGAGAATCACTCGTCACCTGGAGCTAAACCAGGTGATGTCACGCGCTCAAAATGGATGTCGGGGCGGTGGTCGTGGAACTAAGGAACCACTCCTCATTGACGCGGTCATAGGCAAAGTGGTGAAACGCAACCGTCGGAACTTCTCTGCCGCCTGGATAGACTACAGAAAGGCGTTCGACTCGGTGCCCCATACATGGCTAAAGAGGGTCCTCGAGCTGTACAAGATTGACTGTACAGTTAAAGACTTCCTCGAGCAGTGTATGGGGCAGTGGAGTACGATCCTTTGTCATTTGGGCGAGCGGATGACGGCTGCGGAGAACCACATAAGGATAAGAAGGGTATCTTCCAGGGCGATTGTCTGAGTCCAATCTGGTTCTGCCTCTCTCTTAACCCTCTCAGTACCTTACTGGAGGGCTCCGGGAGGGGATTTCAGCTACGGAAAGGAGGGACAAAAGTGACCCACCTTTTCTATATGGATGACCTCAAGTTATTCGCCTCCAGTCGCTCCCATCTTATGGAACTGCTAAACATCACTTGTGAATTTAGCAATTCCATTGGAATGGAGCTGGGGACGGAGAAGTGTGCGGTCCTCCATGTTGAAAGGGGAAGGGTTGCAAACTCTGAGGGCATAGACTTGTCCATGCCCGTCAACTTAAGGACCCTTTCCGAGGCTGAAACATACCGATACCTGGGTATGTCACAGAACATCGGTATCGATGAGGCTGGTATGAAACAGTCAGTTTGCGACGTGTTTTATGCACGCTTGACCAAAGTGCTTAACAGCCTTTTGTCCGGTGTGAATAAGACACACGCATATAACGGCTGGGTCATGCCTGTCCTCATGTATACCTTTGGCATACTCAGGTGGACTCAGACTGAGCTTAACGCCCTGGATAGAAAAGTCCGCACTACCATGACGTCCCATAGGATGCATCATCCGAGATCGTCGGTAATGAGGCTGTACTTGCCGCGAAAGTATGGTGGGCGTGGCTTTCTGAGCGCGCTCACCATGCATAATCGCGAAGTGTGCAGTCTCCGTCAGTACTTCTTGGCGAGATCGGATGATCCATTCTATAATGACGTCATTTCTAGTGATAAAGGGCTTACCCCTCTATCCTTAGCCAACGAGCAATGGCAGGACCCAGCAGTGCAGTAATTCCGACCGGGAGACCGTATGGAAGGAGAAGGAGCTCCACGGGAGGTACTACAAGGCTCTACATGAGCCCTTCGTAGATACAGTCGCCTCCCTCAACTGGCTACGTTTCGGTGACCTCTTCGGGGAAACCGAGGGTTTTGTCTGTGCAATACAGGATCAGGTTATTAAGACCAACAACTATCGGAGATACATCCTAAAGGATGGCACCGTCGACGTCTGTCGAGCTTGTCGCCATCCCGGGGAGTCACTTAGGCATGTCATCTCCGGTTGTTCGGCGCTTTCTAACTCTGAGTACTTGCACAGGCACAACCTAGTAGCCAGAATTCTACACCAGGAGCTCGCTCTGAAATACGGTCTCGTGGACCGGAAATTGCCGTATTACAAGTACTTGCCGGAAGCCGTGCTCGAAAATGACCGCGCCAGACTCTACTGGGACCGGGCCATCATCACAGACAGGACTATTCTTGCGAATAAGCCTGATATTGTGCTGATGGACCGGGCACAGTCAAGGATATTTTTGGTCGATATTACCATCCCGTATGACGAGAACCTCGTGAGAGCCGAAACAGATAAGCAATCAAAATATCTGGACCTGGCTCACGAGGTGACGGACATGTGGGGTGGTCTGCTGGCCGAAATTATTCCTGTAGTCGGCTCTGCGAATGGGCTAATCCCAGTTAGCCTCTCTGGTCATCTGAGGCGACTGGGACTCCGTGACGGACCGCTCCGGGCTCAAATGCAGAAGGCTGTGCTCCTTGATACTGCCCGCATCGTCCGCCGGTTTCTTTCCCTTTCTTCCTAACCCTTGGCCGTTTGGTCTCCCCTGCCGAGGGCTTCCATCTGGTTGGGCTTTTATTTATTTATGTATTTTTCTATTTATTTTATTTTATTGATATTTATGTATATTTATCCTTTCATTTTCATTTATAATTATATATTTATACATCCCAACTAGATGAGAAAACTATATAGATACCCCACACATAATAATAATAATAATAATCGTTATTTTCTCTCTGCAAAATTGCAGTTTACATCATTACATCTAAATTTTTTAGTAACTTACAAATGTTTTTACAAAAGTTGTAGAGGCTGGTGACACCACCTCCACCGGACAAAGAATCACGTCTAAAGTATGTACTCATGAGAAATGCGTTTTAAAAGATATATAATATATATTTAAAAAGACGAAAAAACAACAAAATATGTTTGTATGTGTGTGTGTGTGTGTGTGCGTGTGTGTGTTTGTGTTCTGGAGGATTAAATTGTTTTGATAAGAGCCTCACTCTCATCATAGTCTTTAGTCAGTAACCATATTTTTATAGTAAATTTACAGTTTGCTCTTGTTAAAGGCTATATACCCCGTACCTATACAATTTACTCTATTATATAGTAATGGTGCAATATAACAAAATAAACCTCTTTGCAAATGTTGTACTAAACCTTTGGTGGACACAGATACACTTCCTTACACGTTGTGTCGAAAGGTCATAAGCGGCGTTAGAATGTTGTTTTAAGACAGTGTACTATATAAA